CCCTCCTTGTGTGTGAGTCGTTCGGGCTCCTCATGGTGTGAGTCGTTCGGGCCCCTCATCCTGGTGTGAGTCGTTCGGACCGCTCGTCCTGGTGTACGTCGCTCGGGCCCCTCCTTGTGTGTGAGTTGTTCGGGGTCCTCGCGGTGTGAGTCGTTGGGCCCCCTCGTCCTGGGGTGAGTCGTTCGGCCTCCTCGTGGGCGTCTTGGGGGCCTCTTGGAAGCTCTCGGGGCCCCTTGGGGGCCTCTTTGTGGTCTCTTGGACGCCTCTTGGGGGCCACGAGGGGCGTCTTGGGGCTTCTTGGAAGCCTCTTGGGGGCCTCAGATGGGCCTCTTGGGGCCTCTTGGGGGCCTCTTGGGGGCCTCGTCCTTCCTTGTGTGGGTGCCTTCGGGCCCCTCATTGTGTGTGAGTCGTTCGGGTTCCTCGTAGTGTGAGTCGTTCGGGTTCCTCGTACGAAGAGTTCGCGTCTGTGTGCGTTGCAGATATGTGAGTCGTTCCAGCTCTTCGTGGTATGAGTCGTTGGGGCCCCTCGTCCTTCCTTGTGTGACTCCTTCGGGCCCCTCATTGTGGGTAAGTCGTTCGGGCTCCTCGTGGTGTGAGTCCCGTCCTTGTGTGTGAGTCGTTCGGTCCCCTCCTCCTGGTGTCACTCGTTCGGGCTCCTCGTGGTGTGAGTCGTTCGGGGCCTGCGTCGTGGTGTGAGTCGTTCGGGCTCCTCGTGGTGTGAGTCGTTCGGGCGCCTCGTCCTGGTGTGAGTCGTTCGGGCCTTTCCTTGTGGTGTGAGTCGTTCGGGCTCCTCGTGGTGTGAGTCGTTGGGGTCTCTCGTCCTGGTGTGAGTCGTTCGAGCTCCTCGTGGGGCCTGTTGGGGGCCTCTTGGAGCCTCTTGGGGCGTCTTGGGGGCCTCTTGGGGGCCTCTTGGGGGCGTCTTGGGGGCCTCTTGGAGCCTCTTGGGGCCTCTGGGGGGCCTCTTGGGAGCCTCTTGGGGACCTCTTGGGGCCTCTTGGGGGCCTCTTGGGGGCCTCCTGGAGGCCTCTTGGGAGCCTCCTGGGGGCCTCTTGGGTCCATCTTGGAGCCTCTTGCGACCTCCTCAGAAGCGCAAATGAGCGCTTCCCCCTGATTTGACCAAAATGAGCCCAAAACCTTCGTAAAATCAATGATTTTGCTATGAAGGAAGGGGAACGCGGCCCCCTCAGAAGGCCAAAATGGGGCCAAAACCGTAGTAAAATCAATGATTTTGCTTCAAAGACGAGCTGAGGCACCAAACTCCCCCCCCCCCTCGGGGCCAGAATCCTCGTGAGGGTCGTCGTTTTTTGGCCCTCCCAGACGTCGAAAAAGACCCCCCTGACGACCCGCGGAACTCCCTCTCCAGGTCCAGGGGGAGGGGGTAGGGGGAGGGGTAAACCCCTCCCCGAAGGGGAAGAAGGGGGGTTGAGGACAGAGCGGGCTCTCTAAACCACTCACGCCCAAAAGGCTGGTGGGACTTAGTTTGCATGCATCGCACTGTCCGCTGGAACTGACGCTGCGTTTCCGCAGCTGTATGACTGCTCGAACCAGCCGACCTCGGCTGGCAGGAGAGAAAAGGAGTGCGCTGGGGCGCGCGGGCGGCTCGTCGTCGTCCGTCCTCGGCCGACCTCCTCCCTTCACATTCCTGATAGAGTAGTCTTGCTTAACGGATACCTGTCTTATCAATGTCTCATCCCGTCCCCTCTCTCCCTGAGCAGAGTGAACACGAGATCTGAATTCCTTTGTCATCTTACCCCGATTCTCAGAGGAAAGACTCCTCCCTCCTCGTCCACGAACGTCCCTCCCATCCCTTCTCTTCCTCCTCAACCTCCTCCTCCTCCTCCGGCGGACCGCAGCCTGGAAGCGGTGCAAACGCATGCCGGCGAGACCTCCCAGTGCGCAGCATGGACCCCCCAGGAGCAGCCATTGCTCAGTTCAGCCACGCGCAGAGAGGGGTGGGGGGAGGGAGGGTTTCTTAGAAGCACCCCTGCTTCTAGGAAGCCCTTCCCCCTCCTTCCACCCCCTTGCGCACGCCGCCAATCAGTGCCTGGCCAGAGTGCACGCAGCAGCGGAGAGGACCAATTATGGATGCTCGTAGGGACTGGTAAGGAGTGACCTGGGGACGCAGCCTGCACTGGGAGCATCGTTTAGAGACGTACATACTGGGTTTGCCCTGGTCCTGCTCATCCTTTGCCTCCTCCTCCTCCTCCTCCTCCTCCTCCTCCTCCTCCTCCTCCTCCTCCTCCTCCTCCTCTTCCTACTCCTGCTCCCTCCTCCCTGCATGGTGTTAGGTGCGTTCGCATCACCCCCCCGGAGGCATATCCCCTGCAGCTCGTCCGTTTCAGTCTCGATTATTCCTTCTATCCGCTAAAACGGGCGTATGATCGAATCGGGATCCGCGAGCCCAATCCCTGAACGGCAAGACTTTCGGTTCCCGCCTTCCCTGGCCGCCTTCACCGCACGCTTGAGCCCGACGTCGAGTTCGCACCTCTGCCCTGTAGCTCGCTGAGCAGGTGTGGAGACCACTATCGCCGCCCGCTTTCTTCGGGAGAAGTTGCGCTGGCCGGGGCCTGTGGCGTGCGCGGCTTGCCCGGGAGCGAGGCCGAGACCGGCAGGAAGGCGCAGTCGGCCGCGGGCACCCAGCTCCCCGCGCTGCCGCACAGGGCTCCTCCTCCTCCTCCTCCTCCTCCTCCTCCTCCTCCTCGTGTTCTTCCCCGTGTTCCTTCTCCTCCTCCTCCTCCTCCTCATCATCATCATCATCCTCATCCTCATCCTCATCCTCATCCTCATCCTCATCCTTCTCGTGCTCCTCCTCGTGTTCCTCCTCCTCCTCCTTCTCCTCCTCCTCCTCCTCATCATCCTTCTCGTGCTCCTTCTCGTGCTCCTCCTCCTCCTCCTCCTCCTCCTCCTCCTCCTCCTCCTCCTCCTCTTCCTCCTCTTCCTCCTCCCCCCTCCCTCCTCTCGGGGCATCGCCCTCTCCGCCACCATCATGCCGCGAGGTGATCCGCGGCTGGGACGAGGGTGTGAAGGCGCGTCAGCCCCGCGCCGCGGCAGATGGAGCAGGAGCAGGAGGAGGAGGAGGAGGAGAAGGAGGAGGAGGAGGAGGAGGAGGAGGAGGAGGAGGAGGAGGAGCAGGGGGCGGTGGAGGGGGAGTGGGAGGGGAAGGAGGCGGAGGAGAAGGAGGCGGAGGAGAAGGAGGAGGAGGAGGAGGAGGCGGAGGAGGAGGAGGAGGGGAGCAGGGGGCGGAGGAGGGGGAGTGGGAGGGGAGGGAGGAGGAGGAGGAGAGAGGAGGAGGAGGAGGAGGAGGAGGAGGAGGAGGAAGGAGGAGCAGGGGCGGAGGAGGGGAGGGGAGGGAGGGGGAGGGAGGGAGGGAGGGAGGGAGGGAGGGAGGGAGGAGGGAGGGAGGGAGGGAGGGAGGAGGAGGAGGAGGAGGAGGAGGAGGAGGAGGAGGAGGAGGAGGAGGAGGAGGAGGAGGAGGAGGAGGAGGAGGAGGAGGAGGAGACGGGGGCGGAAGAGGTGGAGATGGAGGAGGGAGGGGGAGAGGCCGGAAGAGGGGACGGTAGGGGGAGGAGGGAGGAGGGAAGAGGTGGAGATGGAGGAGGGAGGCCAAGAAGGAGGGAGGAAGGGAGGGAGGGAGGGAGGAAGGGAGATGATGATGATGATGATGATGATGATGATGATGATGATGATGATGATGATGATGATGATGATGATGATGATGATGATGATGATGATGATGATGATGATGATGATGATGATGATGATGATGATGATGATGCTGATGATGATGATGATGATGATGATGATGAATGATGACGATGATGATGATGATGATGATGATGATGATGATGATGATGATGATGATGATGATGATGATGATGATGATGAGGAGATGATGATGAGGAGGAGGAGGAGGAGAGGAGGAGGAGGAGGAGGAGGAGGAGGAGGAGGCTGAGGCTGAGGCTGAGGCTGAGGCTGAGGCTGAGGCTGAGGCTGAGGCTGAGGCTGAGGCTGAGGCTGAGGCTGAGGCTGAGGCTGAGGCTGAGGCTGAGGATGAGGATGAGGATGAGGATGAGGATGAGGATGAGGATGAGGATGAGGATGAGGATGAGGATGAAGATGAGGATGAGGATGGTGATGATGATGACGGCCACAATGATGGCAATGATGATAATGATGATGATGAGGATGATGATGCCGACGATGATGATGATGCTGATGCTGATGATGATGATGATGATGTTGATTCTGATGATGGTGATCATGACGTTGATGGTCATGATGATGCTGATGATGATGCTGATGCTGCTCATGATGATGGTGATGATGATGACGACGATGATGATGCTGATGATAATGATGCTGATTGTATTGCTGATGCTGATGCTGATTACGATGCTGATGATAATGATGCTGATGATTATAATGGTGATGCTGATGTTGATGCTGATTCTCATGGTGTTGAGGCTGAGTCTGATGATGATGATGACGATGATGATGATGGTGGTGGTGGTGATGGTGATGATGGTGATGATGATGCTGATTGTGCTGCTGCTGATGATAATGCTGATGCGGATGCTGCTTATGATGATGATGACGATGAGAGGAGGAGGATAATGATGATGATGATGATGATGATGATGATGATGATGATGATGATGATGATGATGATGATGATGATGATGAGGGTGATGATCATGATGATGATAATTGTCATGATGAGTGAGGGTGATGATAATGATGATGATGAGGAGGAGGAGGAAGAAGAGGAAGAGGAATAGAAAGAGGAGGAGGAGGAAGAAGAAAAAGATGAGGGGGAGGGGGAAGAGTAGGAGGAGGAGGAGGAGGAGGAGGAGAGGAGAGGAGAGGAGAGGAGAGGAGAGGAGAGGAGAGGAGAGGAGAGGAGAGGAGAGGAGAGAGGAGAGAGTAGTAGGAGGAGGAGGAGGAGGAGGAGGAGGAGGAGGCTAGACTAGACCAAAAAGTCTTGCAGAACGAATCGGGCCCTAGGGGAGCTCGAAGTCCCTCCGGCCAGCCTCCCTCTTGAACTGCAAGGGCCACCTGCGGCGTCGACCTCTGGCCTTAAAGCGCCCGCCCCGTGCTCGCGCGCGCCAGTCCTGCGCCGGAGCCAGGCGGGCCTCGCTCTCGCTGCCGTCGCGCAGCAGCGCGGCCCTGTGAACCACGTGCGCGAAGCAGCCGCCCGAAAGCTGGCGATGGACACGCGGCGCACAGAACTCCCTCCACACCTGCCTGGCTCCGTTTCCACAACGAAACGCGGGGCCCGGCGCCGTCCGAGAACCCGGGGGGCTTCGGGGCACATGCGCGACCCGGCGTTCGGCGGTGGCCTCTGCCTCTCGCCCTTGCGCGGCTGCCTGGTTGAAGCGCTGCGTCTCCTTCCTGCCGGGCCCTCTGTTGCCCGCGGAGTCGGACGAATCTCTGACGGAACGCCTGGCGGCCAGTCCTGCGTTCCTTCAAAACCGCGTCGCATAGCTCGACCGCCAGCGCCCTCCTCGCTTGATCCTCCGACCTAATTCTGTCTGCCGTCTCTTGCTGGACAATGTAGTCGACATGGAGTGACGACGCGCAGATGCACGCGCGCCTCTCCCACCATTCCATCCAATCCTGCTCGGCAGGACACTCGCTGTAGTGAAGAGGATCGGGAGTGCGATATCTCCTTAACCGAAGCCTCTGTCGGAGGCTGGCCTGCTCCTCCTTGATGGCCGCAGCAGGCCCTGGCGGCATGGACAAATTGGCTTTGCAAGGCATCTTTGTGCCGATGGGGCTCCTGCTTGCCGGCCTCTGTGACCGCGTCGCCAAGCTCATCCACCCCGAACAATCCGCCACCATCAAATATGATTCCTGTCCGCCGCGCAGGGCCGCCAGATCGACCATCCGGGTGGAGTTGCCTTGGCACGTGCCGTTGTCTCCTGCTGTCGCGGCCAGCCGCCTAATGATATATTTTACCGGCGACGCCGACTTCCGCCGAAAGGGCCGCGACCCCGTCCTGGGCCTCCTGATGCGGCTGTTCCAGCTTCTCGCATGTTTCCAACGCCTTGCGGAGGCCTGCTCCGGTTCGCTGGGCCTTCTGCTTGGGCTGTCCGGCTGACATGGTGGCTTCATGGTGTTTCATTTTGTCTTCGGCCAATGCTGCTTGCATGTATTTGTGTTCCCGACGTCTCCAACATCCGGCACCAGCTCGACCAGGGCTGCCAAGCGCTGTTCGTCCGATGGCTCGCCGCCCGATCAGGGTTCCTCTCCTAGCACTGACTCAACAGCCAACGTGGCACCGGAACACATTTGCCTCGAGACCCCGCCCGACGAATGCTTCCGGTGTTGACGCCAGGGCCACCACTTAGCCTCAGGGGCGCCCGACCACGGCTGCTCTCAACAAAATCGCATTATAGTTGCGTCGACATGTTGACAAATCAAGCCGCTTCGGCCCAAGCGCCCGAACTGCGAGCCCCAGGCCTGCTCCGATGGCTCGGGCACGGCAGCGATTTCACCGAGCTCGGCCCGCGTCCGCGGCCGGCAGATCAAGGGCCCGCGAGGGCCCGCCACCTGGGGGTCCATCGCGGTCAGCCCCATCTTTTGCACGTCATTCCACGACGTTCAAGAGCGGCAAGCGGGGCAGGGAACCAGGGGCAGTCACGCCCAGAGTGTTCAGGAGACAAGACTTGAGGCTACCGAGGGAGAGCGGCCTCCAACTTGGCCCCCCCGGAGGGCCCCCAAGACGCCCGCTGCTTCAGCGGTGAGAATTGGGGAGCACGCGCTGGCATCTACATCTGGAGGTCCCCGAACGCCCTGGAAGGACTCCTCGGGCCCTTTAGCGGCAAGAACCGACCGCCGCGGAGCCCGATCGTCATGCGCCCATGATTTCAGGCGCAGCGGCCTCAAGAGGCGACTAGCCAGAGGCCAGAATCCGGGCCGCCGACAAAGTGGCCGACGGCGCTTCACAAGAGCAGGCCAGGCTCCGCTGACAACGCCAGAGAGCGCGGGCCCGAGGTGCCGTTTTCCAGATGCGGCACGGCGACGCGCGCACACGTCAAGGGGGGCCGCTTGCCTCTCCCCGCCAGAGGCCAGCAATGACCTTCCGATGCAAGTGGGCGGAAGAGTCCAACGCCCTTTTGAAGGACTGAAGCACATGCATTGGCGCGATGTGACAAACCGCCATAACGGATGCCCAGATGAGAACGGTCGCCAGAGAGACGCTGCCTCCGCCCATGATGGAGCTGCCGAAGGCCGCCCTCGAGAAATTCAGACGCGATGCCGGGGCGGAATCTGATAGCTTCAACCCTTGACGTTGGCTGCCCCTGCCCGACGCATGTCGAGGCCAGCTGCGCGATGCGCTTGCTGCTGGAGACAGGGATTGGAGATGCCTGAGAAGCGGCCTACCATCATCCGCCCCGTCGCCCGCCTCGCGGGCCCGCATGGGCACGGGCGCGCATGCGCCAGTGCACGCCGCGCGACTGAGGCAGCACGACGCCCACTGTTTCCGGGGCGCAAAAGGGCGCGCGTGCGACAGGGCAGGATGGGGGCATGAGTTTCATGACTGCGATCCTTTGCAGCGACTTGGATAGGGGGCCACGTGCGAACCCCACCCTTACCCCCCACGGTTTCTGAGGGGTCAGCTTCACGCCCACGGCCTGCCAGCTGCACTCAGGCCCGAGGGCCTGGGGCTTCCGCGACGGGGTCAGCGCGACACTCGCAGTCGCGCGATTCCGCCCGCTTCGGGGCCTTGCCCAGGACCAACCAGAGGTGGGGATTAGGGGCGTGGTTGATGATGGCCATGCGCAGTGTCTGGGCACTGTCGACGCCACTTCCGGGGGCCAGGACAGGCGGGTTCCAAATTTACGAAAGGCAAGGCGGCTGCGGGTGCGGTACCTGCCCCCATCCGGCCCCCCGCCTCGCGATCCTCGGCTTCTGCTCGTCCCCGCCTGGCGCGCGCGAGCGAGCGCCGCCGAGCCCGATCTGCGCCGTCGGCGCGGGGTTGCGAGCGGCTCTTGTGAGCGCAGCAAGGCGAGCTCTGCCCGCGCGCGGCAGATGGGGGCTCGGCCAGTGGGGGGGCAGGCGAAGCCGACGTATAATCAGACGAGGAACCGAGGAAAACGCGGCAGCAGCCGCCCCCGCCACGGCCAGGTCGCCCAGAAAACTTGCCGGCCGGCCAGGGGGAGGGGCCCGAAACTATCGATCAGCGCGCGGAACATGCCCGCCGAGCTGTCGAGCTCGGCCCAGTGATGGCAGATGAACTTTGTCCGCGCGTCTCGATTGAGGGGCCGCAGGAATCAACGGCGCAAGGCCCCGGCACGCCTCGGCAATCGCGTCGGCGAGGCCCCCCCCCAGGGCGCGAACTGCCGCGGGAAGGCCGCGCTTTGCCCCCGCTGATCTCCCACCCTGAGCATTGTCGACAGCCGCCCCTCGCGCCAGCCCTGCCATGAGTCAGCACCCCTCGGCGCTCGCGATTGACATTCCAGAGCCAACGTGAGGCCGCAGCCGACGAGGCTCGCGCCCCGCGGCGCCTGCCGAAGGCGAGCCGAAGTTGCCCATAGAGCGCTCGCACCTCTTCGTCATCGGCAGTCGGGGCGACCCCCCTGGCGGCGATCTCGGAGCGCATCTGCGCCGCGTCGGGGCCCGCAGCCTCAAGGGCGGCAGGCGGCGCCGCTTCGACAGCCGCCCCCCGCCGTCGCGCGGCCAGTGGGCGCTTCGATCCCAACGAGGGCCTGCCGCGAGCATTGCGGGGCCTTCTCGCGCAGCCTGACCGCGAAGACCGACGGGTCGGCACCTGGGCGCCGCGCTCGTCGAGGCCGTGCTCCGGGAGCCGCCGCGCCTCGCCAGAGTCGAGCTGCAGGATGGTGGCCGCTGCCGCAATGCCAGGCGGCGGACGCCAGGGTCGCCCGCTGCGTCTTGAGCCGCGCCAGCATGCGCTCCTGCTCGGACGCGCGGGCCTCGGAGACCGCGGGCGCCCGTCGGCGTCTGCGACGCGCTTGCGACAGATCTCCCAGTGCTTCTTGGATTTACACTTAAGTCGGGCGCGCCCCCCAGTATACCCCAAAAGTATGCAAAAAATTGTCCGACAATAGTCCGGTGATTATTTTTCTGGTATTCTTTGACCTTCTTGGGGTATTTTTGGGGCATTCTTCATTTTTCGTCGAAAATCCCCCCGACGCCGGTCCAGACCCCCCTCTACGGTTAGGTCGGGCAGCCACCTGAGGACCAATGGTGGGGCCGCTGGTCCCTCAGGCGCCGTGGGGCCCCAGAGGCACTTGGAAGACTACCCGCGGATTAGCAGTGCCCCATGCGGGCGCGGAGGCGCGGACCCCCCCCAGCGCAATCATGTTGAGCCAAAGCTGTAAAGGAGGAGGAGGAGGAGGAGGAGAAGGAGGAGCTGGAGAAAGGGAACAAGAAAGAGAGATGAGAAGGAGGAGAGCTGAGGGAGGAGGAGGAGGACCAGTGTAAACCCAAGAGTCATCAGCGATGTTGGAATAAGCCTTCCCTGCAAGTTCGGTGAAAGTCTCGCAAATGGTTAAAACGACTGTGCGCGGCGCTAAGACGAGAGCCACATGTTGAACAGGAGCCGCCCTCAACCCGTGAAACTGCTGCTGTGTATGCTTTATATATATATATATATATGTATATGTGTATGTATGTATATATATATATGTATATTTGTATGTATGTATATATATACACATATACAAATATGTATGTATATATATATATATATATACAAGACTGCATTGGCGCTTCGCGCCATGCACCTTGGCTCTTGAAGCTCGGCATGCAGGACAGCCAAATATAACGATGATTCATTGTTGCCGTTTGCGTCATCGTCGTTATAGTAATGTTATGTACTATCCTTATACTTCCTCTCCTCTTACTCGTAATCTTCCTTGTCTGCGAGCCACTCCTTGTCCTCATCCCCAGTTTGTATTGCAGGGGCTCCTCTTTGGAGGTGTTCCTGGGCCCCTCTCAAAAGCTTTTTGGGGACCTCTGGGGGCCTCCCGGGCGCCTTTTGGGGGCCTCTGGGGGCTTCTTGCGGCCACCTTGCTACCAACCACGGTCTCCCTGAACGACCGGGTCACGATTTGGAGTGCTTCGGGAGGCGTCTTGGGGCCATCTGGGGCTGTCAGCGGGGCTCTCTTGGGGCCATCTTGCGGCCCTGTTGGACCATATTGGGGCTCTTTTGGACTGTTTGGAAGCCCTTTGACACCGTTGTGGGAGGATTTTTGGGGCCAATTCGGCGGACTCGGACGCACGGAATACCGAAGAACCGAATGTCCAAAAATTCCTTCTTTTTTTAATGCAAAAAAAAAGGAAAGGAAAGTGCTGTTTTTTTGCACTTGGAGGACCTCTTGGGGGTTTTCTTTGGGTCGTCTTCGGGCGTCTTGGGGCTGTCTGGGGCCGCTTGGGGCTCTCGCGGGGCCGTTTGGCCGCCCTCCTGACCGCTTTGGGCCCGCTGGCAAGGCCCCGCAGGGGCGTCCAGGAGGCCCGGAAGGCCTGGGGGACCCCTTGCAAGGCGTCCAGGGGGCCCGAAAAGCGCCAGATCCCGGGGGTCCGATTTTCGGGGGGGGGGGGGTTCCCACCCCCCCGGATTGTAAAAATATAGAAAAGGGAATATGTATATCGAATGTGCGTGGCCTTAGGCCGAGAGCCACATTTTGAAAACCACGCGCCCTCAACCCGCGAAGCTCATCCAAATTTTTCAAACGAACCAGCGCGGCGCTAAGGCGAGAACCGCATTTTAAAAACAGCCCGCCCGCAATCTTTGAATGGCTCGCACATGTTTGAAACGAGTGTGCGCGGCGCTAGAACGAGAGCCACATATTGAAAATGGCCCACCCTCAATCTGCGAAAATTTTGCAATGTTCAAAACGAGTGCGCGCGGCGCTGAAGAGGGGGGCGCATTGTAAAACCAGCCCGCCCTCAATCCGCGAAACTCTTGCAACTGTTTAAAACGAATCTGCGCGGCGCTAAGGCGAGAGCCATATTTTGAAACCCACCCGCCCCCCATCGGCGAAACGGTTGTCAATGTCTAAGTTGCAGGTTCATCAATGGTATGCAAGTCTCAGGCGAAACGCCCGGCCCGCCCTAAAAACTGGTTTCGGGGTGCGGCAGGGAGAACTTGTTCGCAACGAAAAGAAATGGAGGAGGAGGACGAGGACGAGGACGATGAGGAGGAGGAGATGAGGAGGAGGAGGAGGAGGAGGACGGGGACTAGGCGGTGGAGGAGAAGGAGGAAGAGGAGGAGGAGGAGGAGGAGGATCCGCGCGCATCAAGGGGGCGGGCTGACGGCCGCCTCCCGAGCGCCCGCGGCGGCGGGCGCGCCGACAGGGGCCCTGCCGCCAGGCTAGGGCCCCTGGCCACGGGAGCCGCTCAAGGCAGGCTCCCGACGAGGAGAGCAGGGGCCCTGCCGCCTGGCAAGGGCCCTTGGCCACGGGAGCCAGGCTCCCGACGAGGAGAACAGGGGCCCTGCCGCCTGGCAAGGGCCCCTGGCCACGGGAGCCCGCTCACGGCGGGCTCCCGACCAACGGGGGCCCCCAACGGGCCAGGCCCCCGACCATGCACGCAGAAGCTTGCGCAGCTGGGTGCAGACCATCACCAGCATCACGAGCTCGAACTACTGGAGGACAAACTTCCGCCCAGCATCTTCATGGAGACCACGACCTTCGCTGAGATCGTGGGAGCCACCTTCTTCTCCAGCCTCGACAGCACCGCCTTGCCTTTGCTGCCAGGGTGGCCGCACTCCTTCTTGAACGTGGAAGGCCTGGCTGCGGCCGAGGCGCCACACACCAGGCATGCAACAAAGGCCATGTCCTTGACGAGCTCGGAACTCCGCACGGGCGCCAGCTCCACAAGCACATGCTTCTTGTCTAACTTGGAATTCAACTCCAGCACCGTCGGCACGATGCTCACTGGGCACTCCGATCGGCGGTCGTACCATCTGCACCTGGCACACCACTTGGCACCCTCGGCTCCCCTGAGGTCGCACATCAGCTTCGTCGCCACGGGTTTGACGGCTGCTTTGGGCGCTGGCCTGTTGGGCTTCGTCGTGCGGTGCGAACAATCCGTACCATCAACACCAGAGCCCACAGCAGCAACCCACAAGGCCACGCCTTCAACCAGCTCTCGAGACTCCCGAAGCCGTCCACTATCAGCTTCAGAGACCCGCCCCACAGTAGCCGCCCGCTTGGCCGCTTTGTCGGCCAAGTAGTTCCCGTACCAATCACGATAAGACGGGCCCACACCATCCGCAAGCCGACGCCTGCTGACGTGCGCCTGTATCTTCTCGATGGTCAAACCCTCAGGTCCCAAGCCACCGAACTCGTCAACCAGGGTCCAGATCTGCTTCCACAAATTGGCCCATGCATAAGAATGATGCGTCGTACGCTCACGCCCGTGCTCCATGAGGCCCTTGACCACGAAGGAGCTGTCCGTGACCGCCACCACTGGTGGAAGAGAAAACCTCAGGGCGTGAAGCAGGGCCGCCAGTTCGCCTCCGTTGATGTCCACATAGGGCTCATCCAGCACCCCTGAGACGCCCTGGTAGAACTCGTCCGAGCCTGGCCTCAGCGCGATGACTGCCCAGCCAACTATGGTGTAGCGTTCTTAGTCCCCTTCGTACGCTGACCCGTCAAGACACAACCTCCCAGGATGTAGCCAACCCCTACCCGGCACGCCAAGCCAACAAACTTCCGCTGGTCGGGGAGGTATGCGTACACCTTGAGGACCCGGCCACAGACAACATTCGAGAAGGCATCGTAGATTGTCGTCATCGGCTTTCTGCGCCAACAGCTCGATCTGCTTCGGCAGCACCAGCTCATCGGGCCAATTGCCATCTTCGCAATGCCTGTGGTACAAAGTCCCGAGCTGCCCACAGCGTAGACACTCTGGTGCAGTAGCGTAGCCCTTCTCATGCTCGCGAGCCTGCGACCACTGGCCGCCTTGCACCAGCGAGTCCAGGTAACCCTTCTCGTTCGCCGTCAAACGAATAGCCACCATCTTAGACACGACTGTGGCAGCGTCTGCGCAGCCACGCTGGCCCGACTCGACCCCATTACTGCCCCCAGACCCCGTGTCCCGTGGCGCATGGCCGAAGCCAAGCATTAAGGGTAAGCTGCCCACCACAGTACCGACAGCCTCGAAGCTGTCGCGCGGAGCCTGGCTGGCTGGCACGTCTTGTCGGGCCAGGGGCGCAGAAGAGCTGCTCCCACCCAGCAGTACCTCGGCAACTGGCGCTCCACCAGCGACCACGACAGTGGCAGCGTCTGCGCAGCCACGCTGGCCCGACTCGACTCCATTACGATTGCCCCCAGACCCCGTATCCCGTGGCGCATGGCCGAAGCCGAGCATTAAGGGTAAGCTGCCCACCGCGGGGCCGACAGCCTCGAAGCTGTCGCGCGGGGCCTGGCTGGCTGGCACGTCTTGTCGGACCAGGGGCGCAGAGATGCTGCTCCCGACCGGCGGTGCCTCGGCAACTGGGGCACCATCTGCGACCACGTCGCTGTCGGAATCCGTGACCTCCCCCAGCAAATCATTGAATACACTAGCCCAGTCCTGACCAGCATCACTTCGCAAGCCTCTCAAAGTGCAAGAAGACGCGCCAACGGGAAGCTGGAAACCAGGGCCCAGCACCGACCCATTCAGCACTCCCACACGAGCCACCCGAGGAAGGAGACGAACCTCTGGAGGCCCATGCGGCGGAGGCGCATGCGAAGGCGTCCTTCGTGGTCTCGACTCGGCTGCAGTACCTGGGACGACCTGCTTGCCGAACGCGCCCGTCTTGCTGGCTGCGCCACGATAAGTCGCGTCAGCGGCCCCAGCACCCCGCCGTCCACGAGATGCTCGAATCCCTCATGCGCTCCGACTTGTTTCCACTGCCATGCTTCAACAGCCCGCTCAAGAAGTCGCCTAACTGCCCAAGGTGAAGCATCGAACACATGTACCACAAGCCCTTCGTTGGTGCGCCAGCATTCGTCAGACAACAAAGTCCATCCCACGCGCTCGAGCGACAATCTCACTGCCGCAGAGGGCCCTTTGACCTGAGCCCAACTGGGCGCACAACAATGCATGAGGCCGTATCGGACGATGTGCTTCGGTATCCAACATCCCCACGCCGCTCGAAGCATAGTCATAACTGGTAGCACCATTGCCCTGAACATCGGGTCAGGGCCTGGAGGCAACATCAAGGTCAGTGACCGCGACCGCCCAGCAGTGGAATTAGCCACGGACGTGAACACCAGAGTCCTCAGCTTATCAAGCTCCATGCTAGAACAGCCTGTGACCACGAACCCGTAGCTGGCCGACGCCCCCAACCCACTGCGAGCCACCTTGTGCACAGCAAGTCGCCTACCTTTGCCTCCTTTGAGGAACATAACCCGTCGAATACGAAGTCCAGCAGCCACCGGCTTTTCTGTCCTGACTTTCCTTTGAATGCGCCTGCCACACGCAAAGTCCATTCCAAGGCTGCGTTCAGTGCCAACTGATTGCATGCCTACGGGTCGTCGTAGCCGTTTCTCCAAGGAGTGTCTAGCAGCGGGCACGTTGGGCATCGCCCGTGACTTGGAGGCCGCGATCTTCAAGTCCACACTTTCGAGCAAAGTCTGCAGGCGAAAAGCAGCGTCCGAAACCTCTCTCGTGGCTCTGACCAGCCCTCCCGCCCGATGGGGCATCACGTCGTCGACGACGACTGCCAGCTGAACCGCGGGGTGGTGCCGCACCAACAGGTCCAAGGGCTTGATCAGGATCAGCTTCAGCAAAGTCGCAGCAAACCCATCGCCTGGTAGCACGGATTGCTGCGCCTCCACCACCTTCGAGGCCGCATTTCCAAGCGTGAGAATGCGAGGAGAACAATGCAGCTGCAAAGACAACTTTAATTGCCACAGTGGGTACCCCGTTTCTATGGCTGCTGCCACCAGCCAATGATGCCGAATCTGTTCATATGCTTTGAGGAGATCGGGAAGAGCTGCAACGGCCGCCCATCCACGCTCATCTCCCGCTTCAACACCCTTCTGGGTAGCCCACTCGCTCATGGCGGTCCGGTGCCAAACCGCTCTCTCACAGGAACGACCTTGCGTGGCCCACCAGAAGGAACGCGAATTGCGCGCCTCCCAGGACCTCGCCACATCTCGCCGAAGCCTCGCTTGTACTCGAGAGATGGCCATGATAAGAGCAATAGGCCGAACACCACCGGTTCGCTTTTGAATGAAACAGACCTTCGTAACCAACTTTGGCCAAGACGCCTCTCTCTCAATGCCTTCGATGGTGTCCGCCAAGAACTCTTAACCCCGCGTCGTCGAGCTCCAGAAACTGACGTGGGCTGATAGTGTCGAAAGACATGCCCGTCTGCGCAGGGGAGGCGAGGAGGGCCTTCTTCACCTGCTCAACAGAAGGACGAGGCGGCCTCTCACCCAAATCAGCAGGCCAAACCACCCGCTCTTGATGAAGATGGCACCTCCACCAGCGTCTCCACCCCTTCTCCAGGGCTACCACCCAAACTCGAATCCTGCAGGCACCTTGGTTAGAGCATGAAGGCCTCCACCACCCCCGCGCGCTTGTCGCTCGACCCAATCGTTGAACTCAGCTCTGCGGACGTACATATCGTGATCCGCCATCCTGCAGGCCTCCTGCTTCGTACGATGTGCAAGCTGAGACACGACGTCCAAGTCCAGCCGCCCAATGCGCAAATTGCTGAGCGCATGCCACCAACTGCTCACGAGGGGAACGTCCTTTGGCGAGACGCAGCCAGCGTCCCCAGCCGCAGGCTCCACCTTCACAAGCTTGGGAGGCTTCGCCAGTAGGTTACGCAAACCTCGCAGCGCCCGAAGACGCGATATGGGGTATTCCATTCTAGAAGCGACCTCCAGCTCGTTGGACACCTGAAAGAGCCACGTAGTTTCAGCAGAAACTTCGGGCCAACGAGCCCCTGCAACTGGAAGGTTCCGAACCAACTTCGACGAGTGCTTCTTGCCTCTGCCACGATACTTCTGCTGATGATCTGCAATCTGATAAACATCCAACCATACGGACTCGGCTTGTTCGAGGAACTGGCCCCAAGCTTCGGTCATGCGCCCTGGAAGAGCGAGGGGTGCACGCACCTGATCGCCAACACTCAGCCACTGGTCAACGTAAGACTGCCGCGAACAACCCGAGGGACGCACCCGAGGGAATGCCTAGGGAACCTCGACAATCCTCACACGGGGCGGCTCCTTCTCGGCCTGCAGCGTGAGCACCACTGGCCGATGTGGCCATACAGGTGAGCCTGACAACACCTCGACATCAAGAACCTCGAGCCCTTGAGAAATGATGAACATACCGATCGTCCGCATGGACTGGGCGCATGCGGGTTCCAGCGTGTCAACAAGCTTACCACGGAACAAGTTCAAAGCCCCACTAGCCACAAGCTCAGCACGAGTGCAGTTGAAATCGCCACCAATCACAAAGGGCCTTTTGTACTCTCGCAATCTACGAGCCAAATCTTGCAACGCCAGATAGTTGAACCTGTTCACACCCACCCCACTTTGCAAGTAGATATTCACAACCACGAACCCACCTGCAAGTAGACCAGACTGGTGCATCACAAACGCACGTCCTGGGCATACAATAGGAGACAGCGAGCCCAACGTCGGAGCCAGGCCACGCACCATGCGCGACAACGTGAGCAGCCCACCAGTGGCCAGGCCACCCGCGGCAGAAGGAAGCGCTGGCGCTCAAGCGGCTCTCCAGCCGCGCCGTCTCAACTCAGCCTCGGCGTCGACCGTGCGCTGGCTTGGCAAGCGGGCCTCCTGGAACAACAAGGTGTCGTACTCTGCAAGGCTGCCACCCAAACACTTGTCGATGTTCGCGTAGGTGTTGACGCTCAGCACTCCGATCTTGAAAGTCTTGCGGGTCTTGCTACCCCGCGCGCATCTTCTTGCCGATCCTCTCGGCGAACTGCTCCAGAAGCCTGCGCTTGTCGGGGCAGTCGCCGCCAAACTCCTCCATCGCTGCGTCGAGGGTAGCGCTGGAGAACTCGCTAAAGTCCTCGGGCTTGATGGCGTCGTCTCGGGAACCTGCGGCAGCCCCTGGCTGGCTGGCTGCCTCAGGACGAGGAGTGGCTGGAGCTGGAACAGGTGGGGTCTCGTCGTTGGCCTCCTCGACCTTGAACTTGTCGTCCGCCAGCGTCGAGAGAAGCTCCTTGAGGGCTGCGCCGGCCTCGCCGAGATCCGCTCCTTCGATCTTGGTCTCCACCAGCTTGGCCAGCCTCGCGCGCTTGTCCACCAGGCTGCGGACTTCGCTCGGCTGGGGAACGGCTCCTGGGACGGCTCCACCATCCTGTTGGCGCTCCTGCTGCTCCATCTCCTGCTTAGCCTTTGCCACAGCCTCGCGGAGCTCAAGCTCCAGCTGCTCCGCGTACTTATTCTGCTTGACCGCCTCGAGGAGGGCCTCGGCAGCCAGTCGGCCCTTGGTTTCAGCATCCTGCTGAGCTTTCTTGAGCTTCTTGCCCGCCTCGCCAGCCTTGACCTGCGCGCTCTTGATCGACTTGCGCGCCGACAGGGAGCCCAACTCTTGCTGCAACAGGAAGCGGGCCTGCCGCAAAGAGCGGTGATCTGATGGCGACAGGCTGTCGGGGGCGAAGATGGCGAAGTCCTCGGCGCTGAGCGCGAGGTGCCGCTCGCGCACTGCATCGGTGAGCTTGATGTAGCCAGGGCCACCACCAGGCCCACCTCCTCCACGCCCTGGGGCCCCACGCTCAGGCCCACGCTTTGCCCTGGATGTTCGCCTTGCGGCGGCCCGCCACGCCATCGCCCCAGAGGGCCACGAGCACCGCTGCCACCACCAGGTACATGATTAGACGGCCGATACGCCAGGCAGCCAGGCTGCCTGCGCTGCTCGCGCCACCCCAGGTTCTTGCAGCCACACGTCGTGCACCTCCAGCACGTTGCCGCTCCGCCTGGCTCGCCGCCGCCCAGCGCCCGAAGCGCCACGGCCGCCGCGCGCGCTGCCGGGCTGCCAAGCAGCCTTGCCAAGCTCGAGGAACAGAGCTATCCCGCCTTGGCACGAGGGCGCGGCAGCCCCAAAGTGCAGGCATCTTGAGCGAAAATGGCTACGGAGGAGGAGGAGGAGGGGGAGGGCGAGGAGGAGGGATGGCAGCGTCTAGCAGACACCATGGCCAGTAGCTTTTAGATGTAAAAGAGAGGCGTTGGAGGACGAGGAGGCGGACGAGGACGAGGACGAGGAGGAGAAGGTGGAGGACGGCGATGGCGAAGAGGCGGAAGAGGACCAGCGGAAACCCAAAACGCATCAACGATGCTGGAATCCACCCCCCATCGAAGCTCTCTCGCCATAGGCCCCATACAAGGGGTCATTTCCACTAAGGGACCTGCCTCGTTGGGAGAGAACCGTTTGAATATTGCGACGAGTGCCGAAACACCATGCCCAGGATTCCAACGCCACGAATCAACAAAATTGTTGCGTTTTGGCGATCCTGAATCGCGCCAGAACGCCCTTCCTGGAACTTCAACACCGCAAATCAACACACGAGGTGCGCCACCACAACCCTGTGTCTTTTCAAGGCATTATTTCTGGCATGTTGAGCATGGGAATCCGTGAAGCCGCTGCAAACGTTGAGAACGAATGTGCGCGGCGCAAGGGCGAGGGCCACATTTTGAAAAGGAACCGCCCTCAATATGTGAAATGTTGTTTCATTTCTGAAACGGATATGCGCGGCAGTAATGCGAGAACCACACGTTGAAACCGCCCGCCGACAATCCGCGAAACTCATGTTGATGCTTAAAACGACTGCGCGCGGCGCTAAGGCGAGAGCCACATTTTCAAAACCACGCGCCTTCCATGTAAATTGCCGCCAGCTTCTAAACTTCAGGGTCATGAATGGTGAGGAAATCTCAGGCGAAATGCCTGACCCGCCCTTTTGACCGGCCTCGGGGTATGACAGAGAGGAAGTGCTGATCAAATTAGCCTGGCGAAGGACCCAATCATACGCAGTTGTGAATACCGCGATTGTGGATCTCATCTCCGCTCGCGCTCCCTATGGGGCCACGAACCGTGTGAGGGGGCGTGCCGAAATGCTTGGCGGGGTCCCCAGTACGAACAAAGACGATCGCTCTGAGTGCGCGAGACTGAGACCGGGTGAGCCTGAGCGCGAGTAAGTCTGACTGTGAATGTGTCTGCGTGCGAATCAGTCTACGCGCATCAATGTCGACGCCCATGTCGGCACGCCCCTCACGAGGATCGCGCCCGCCTCCTTCCCTTTCTTTTTCTGCCTCTTCGCCCGTGCGCGCCGATGTCCATGGCTGCGGGCGCGGCGCCGCACTGAGTCCCCGCGACGCACGCTGGTCGCCCCGAAGGGGTCCCGGCGACGCGTGCGGGTCGTCCGCCGCGCGGAGCAGAGAGAGTGCTCGTTGGCTGGGTGATAGCGGGCAAGACTGTGGCCGCTGGGCAGAGCGACGACGGGGGCGAGCGAGGCTCTGGGCAGAGCGCAGCGCGGAATTCCCGCGACGCGCGCTGGTCGCCCCGAGAGGGCCCCAGCGACGCGCGCGGATCGCCCGCGGCGCGAGGCCAAACAGTCAGACCGTCGAGAGACGGCGAGTCTCGGGCGGGCCGCTCCTCAGGTCAAGCCTCGCGGATAAACTCGGTGAAGCCCATCTCCCTGGCGAGGGCCGTCGCCTCCCTTCTGCACCGTTTCGTGCGCGCCGCAAACTGCTCCAGCTGCTTACGCAAAGTGTGCCAAAATGGGGCGGCGGCGCCACGCGAGTTCCGCCACTGGGACCTTAGGTGGAGCCCCCTGTGGGGCCACGAAACGTGTGAGGGGTGTGCCAAAATGGGGCGGCGGCGCCATGCGAGTTCCGCCACTGGGACCTTAGGTGGAGCTCCCTATGGGGCCACGAAACGTGTGAGGGGTGTGCCAAAATGGGGCGGCGGCGCCATGCGAGTTCCGCCACTGGGACCTTAGTTGGAGCTCCCTATGGGGCCACGAAACGTGTGAGGGGTGTGCCAAAATGGGGCGGCGGCGCCATGCGAGTTCCGCCACCGGGACCTGTGGTGGAGCTCCCTATGGGGCCACGAAACGTGTGAGGGGTGTGCCAAAATGGGGCGGCGGCGCCATGCGAGTTTCGCAACTGGGACCTTAGGTGGAGTTCCCTATGGGGCCACGAAGCGTGTGCGCGGTGTGCCAAAATGGGGCGGCGGCGCCATGCGAGTTCCGCCACTGGGACCTTAGGTGGAGTTCCCTATGGGGCCACGAAACGTGTGAGGGGTGTGCCAGAATGGGGCGGCGGCGCCATGCGAGTTCCGCCACTGGGACCTTAGGTGGAGTTCCCTATGGGGCCACAAAACGTGTGAGGGGTGTGCCGAAACAGAGACATGCGGAGAGCAAAAGCCAGGATGGGGGAGGAGGGAGGAGGGGGAGGGGGAAGGAAGGAGACGCGGGGCACCGTCTCTTCAAAACGAGGACCCAACACCACAGGATGGTTGGGAAAAAATCGTCCCCAGGCTATTGTTTTACTATTTTCGACTAGTCCTCCTGTGGAGGGACATGCCCGACTTCAGCGTAGAATCACGTCTCAAAGAGAAGGAGGAGAAGAGAGGGAAAAAGACGACTCAGGTCAAAAAAAGGCTGCCATGTACGGGTGGGCGGGGCGCGAGAGAGGACCGAGGATGAGAAGAGGGGGGGACGCAGGGGAACTCAGAACACGACGGAGAAGCGTGGCGACATGATAGCACGACGACGCGGGGAAATCATATGAAGGGGCCCTGGGACACACACATAAATGCACACACACACATAGAAAGATTCCCCATATACGTTTCCCATCTGCTCTGGACTCCTGTCTTCCCCCCCCCCACTTCCCACAGTTTCCCACATTTCCCGGGGGATCGACGACGAATGGTGTCTGTGTGTGCTTTTTCCCCTCCCGAGCCTAACACGACGGGAAAGCAGGTTCTGGGTTCCTGTCTTCCCCCCCACACTTCCTATAGTTTCCCACACTTTCCGGGGGATCGACGACGACGAATTGCGTCCGTGTGTGCTTCTTCCCCTCCCGAGCCTCACGCGACGGGAAAGCCGAAGACTCTGCGATGGCCCGCAGCTCCCGCGGCGCCACAGCAGGCGCGCCCCAGTCAGTCTCCGAGGGCGGCGCCCTCGGCCGCTCATGCGGGGGCCGACCTCCGACCCCGGGGGGGGGGGGGGGACGTTCTCCCTGCAGGGGCCCCCGGGGACACACAAACGAATACACACAGATCCAAGGATCCCCCATCTCTTCCCATGTGTCTTCCCTTCTAGTTCCTGGGTCTCCGTCTCCCCCCCCCCCCACGTCTTCCCAGAGGTTCCCATATTCTTCCCATAGTTTCCCATATCTTCCCATATGTTCCGTTATATTTTCTTATATCTCCCATATCTTCCATAGATTCCATATTCTTCCCGTTTTCCCAGATGTTCCCATACTTTCCCATATCTTCCCTTATTTCTTCCCATATTCTTCCCATATTTTCAGTTGTTTTTGTTTCCCATAGTTTCCCATATTTTCCCATAGCCTCCCAATATTTTCTGGGGGGGGGAGGCTCTCCTCTGCAGCGCGGCCCGGCCACGCGGCCCCCGGCAGGCTCGGGAGGAGCGAGTGCGGCAGGCTCGCGTCGTGCCGACTTCGGCGTGGGTTTCTGACCCACACACGAAGGGGCCCCAGGCCACGCAGATAAATACACATATTTTTTCCAGCGCAACTATTTTGGAGAGGGGGGAGGGGGGCAAAGAGAGAGGGCGCGGACATCCCAAGAACGTCGAACCAGATAAAGATAAATACGCACAAATCAAGGATTCCCCCTATTTTCCCATATGTTCTGGGTGTCTGCCTTCCCCCCACTTCCCACATCTTCCCATAGTTTTTCCTAGGGAAGCGACGATTCGTTGTGTCTGTTTTTGTTCTTTCCCCTACTGGGCACAGCGGGGATCGTTCAGCCGTGAACCATCGGCCGCTTCCGAAACGTCCAGATCGTCCCACACCGAACGAGTCTGGGCCGCCCGCGGCGTCAGAAAGTGGAACGCCGCTGGCGGGGTCGCCGCCGGTCTACACGACACGAACCTGCCGTAGGGAGGTCGAGGGGAGAGCGTGGCAACGAATGGTAAAGAAAAACGCGAGCAACGCAACGGGCAGGATGCCTCAGCCAAAGGGGCCCAGAATCGCACGCACAAGAATCTCTCCAAACAAAATATTGGATCGTGAATCGCGCTTTCCTGTTGCATTTGCCTCCGCGACGCGCAGCCTCTGGGAAATCATGTCGTTGCCGTTTCTTCCTCTTCGACCCTCCCTCCCCTCGAATCCCCCCCCCTTCCCGACCCATCCTCCCCCACCCTTTTCCAACCTGGCCTCCCCCGCCATCCGACGACGATCTTGCCACTCAAGGGTGGCCCTGTCGCAGGGGATGCAGCGTGGCCCGTCCCAGCCACCCTGCAGTGACCAAAAGATCCACTCCGATGAGTCCACTTGGGTTCTTGGTCGAACCGTCGGACTCTCTCTCTCCCTCTCCCTCTCGGGGATGGACAGACCTCCCTTTAGCAAAACGTGGTCTAGTGAAAACGACCTGAGGCCCCAACCTGGCGGGCGCAAGCCTGGAACATGACGGCCACGGCGCCCCCTCGAGAACCGAAGACGGACTATTCACTCATCGACGTGTCACTGTTGGGGGTTCTGTCCACCCCCGACCCTCCCCCATCACTGCATCCACTTCCACTCCGCCTCTGCATCCCCGGACCTCCGGCGTCTCGAGTCCTTCGAGACCCGAGC